GTATTACATACAAGTAAAAGAATGACATTGTTACCTAAAGTTATGAGTAAACTAATAAGATGCTAAGGGTTCACTACTTTTCTTATTATGTCTATTATTATACTCTAGCCTCAACATATTAATTTCAGTCTTATTTTCATTTGTTTAGTATATTTTCCTAACTTAAAGGATAAATTTAAAAAAGCATATGATATGTTTTTAAATTGTTATTCTGTCTTTGACTTCCAAATTAAGAAATTCCTTTCCAAATAGTGTCAGGGAAAAGTAAGAGTCTATCACAAGAAATTTACATTTGCTTTAAGAAGCTTCTAATAGATTAGATGTGTGAGAAAACATTTATTTTTATTCTGCAAAGTGTTGGGGGGGCTATTTTTAACCAAAAGATATTTTATGAATATGTTACTTTCACATTGTAGTGTTAATACTAAGGGAAGTGTCCTGTAGAAAAAGATAAAGGACATTCCATTCCAACACATGTGCAATGGTTATTAACAGTATCTCCCTGAGTACAGCACCAACTGTATTTCTGTTGCAAAATTGCTCCATATGCTTTTTCCCCCTCAAGTGCTCTTTCAAATCGGCACATTTTTAACCCAATTTGTGGATTTGTGTGTATTTCTTTAATGATTTCCATCTTAGAGCAAGTTGCCTATGTTACAGTCTATACATAGCACTGGAGAAATTAGTACAGAAACAGATTCAACATTGGGATAAAATGGTAAGTGCAGTTCCTGGAACTGGGTGATACATCATTTTACTGAGAATTGAAAAATGTAAACATCTGCATTTGCTATTTTAAATGAATTTTCTGGGGCTATTACTTGGCTATCGACTATTTCATTAATTTATGTCTATGTGTAAAATTTTACTTTGAGGTTGGGAATGCTGGATACTGTTTCAAAATATTTCAGGCACTGTAGGAAAATGACCACCCTCTCACCTCGCAATTTCCATAATGTTATCTCTGAGCAGCACCATACTAGTAACACTAGTTTGGATGGCTTTCCAGCTCTTAGGGCCTACAATTTCCCTCAGTTCCTGTGCTGTCCGCACTACACCAGTTAAGGCAGCCCACCCACGAAGAACTATTTCACCCCCAGCTGCTTCCTCTTATCCGCCTAATGTTATGGGCACTGTGAAAGAGTGCTCTATTGTTCCTTAATGGGAACTAATTTTTATTGTAGGCATATTATAGTCACATGATTATACTGTGAACCTGTAAAAGGCAGTTGGCTTCCGCTTGCCCCTCTGTGTTTGAGGGGAGACAATAGTGGCTGTACATCAGAATCAATGGTGGGAGTGGAGGGGTAATTAAATGCCAGTGACAGGGTCCCACCCCAGACCGATAAGTCACAATATTTGGAATTGGTATTTCTTACAAGCTTTCCAGGTGATCCCAATATGCTGTCAGGATTGGAACCATTAAGCTGAATCATCCACACACTGGGGCTCATAATCTCTGGTCTTGGATATTAACTGTGAATATCCTATAAGGGAGCAGATTGCGCTCTGGAGTCAAACAGAGTTGGTTTAAAATCTGATGCTAACTTTCAACAGCTCTGCGACCTTGAACAAGTTACTTAACTTTTCCAAGCCAGTTTGCTTTTCTGTAAAATGGTGCCTACCTCCAAGGAAAGAACAAGAATCACAGTTTCCTCAAGACCTTATCTTGTTCTTTGGGTTTTTAGCTGTATCCATACAAGCATACGGAAGAACACTGAGAACATTGGGAACTTAAGCCAATTACCTAGTAGTTATCTTTCCAATTGTCTGAATATTGATGTAGATCTAGATTTAAAAATCTACATATGTCTACATATTTTAGAGAATGTTCTAATTTCTTCCATGTTCCGCAACAAGCATGGCCTCTCCAAGATGTCAGCATGCAAGAGTGATAAAAAGCCAAAAGCTGGGCCAAGCTGAGGATAGATACCAGGACAGATCCCAGTACTGAGTTAGAGGCGGTCAAGACAGCCAGGAAGAAACCACGTCAAAAAGGGAGTCAGCAGCGGCCAGGTACCAAGTCTAACAGATACATAAACTGGAGTCCAAACTGTGATCTGCACTGGGGACCCTCAGTAATTATTAAGGCGGCAAAGTGCAGGAAATGAGAAAAACCAGATAACACAGCACATTCTATAATTTGCTATGTCAGAGTTCCATGGAAGGGCTAATTTTGTGGGTGTGCTAATGCAGTTCTTAATAAAGCCATATTCTGAGCCCACTATCTGACAACACAAATATTTCATCCAATTTTAAAGGCATGTAAGCTAAATCCAGAGAACACAGCTTAAACTTTAGCTCATGAGGTTAACTCTAGGTTAACAAAAAAAACGTTTAAGGCTATTCACTCTTTTCTATTTTTACCTACAGAAAAGTCAAAAGGTTTCAGCACATGACATACACAATAGCTTCCGGATGGTGAATGTGAAAAACAGGCTCATGAGTATGCCACGTTTATGGATTGGAAGACTCAGTATTCTTAAGACATCCATTCTCTCCAAGTTGGCTTATAGATTCAACGAAATCCAAATCCAAGCAGGCACTTTTTTTTCGAGGGGAGTGTCCGGTGGGGGGGGGGTGGTAGCAATTGACTAGCCTATTCTAAAATTAACATGGGAATACAAAGTATCTAGAATAGCTAAAATGTCTTTGGGGGGGAAATACAAAGTTAAAGGACTTCTCCTGAACCTAAAGTTTGTTGATTTCTTAACAGGAAGTTTGCCATAATAAAAACTTAACTTGTACGTAAGCCTATCATTTTTTAAAAAAAATACCAATTTACTAATTACTTACAGCACATGCACATAATACACCAAAATAATAAAACTATATTTCTACTGAAACACTATAGACACAGTATTTCTCAAAGTGTGATCTAAGGACCACTTGCATGAGAATCACCCAGGAAGAACGGGTTTGACATGCTGACGTATGGATTTCCCACAGACCTAAGAGATCAGACTTAGAGGTAGGCTCCAGAAATTTCTATTTTTAACAAGCTTCTCAGGCTGATATTGAGTACTTTAAAATTTGAAAACTACTCTCCTGAAATTTATTAGATTTTGCCCTAAACAACAGTGGCCTTTTCCTACGTGCATCTGAAAAGGTCCTATCTTAACACAATCTTGATATCACTAAAGAAGCAACACTTACCTTCTCTGGTGGATGGTTAGTTATGAGGGTTGTAGCCCTCTGGGTAAATAAGTTTGCTGAATACATATTTTCATATTCTGTTGCAACTTCTTCACCATCTCGAAAATCAAGAGCACATCGTGTAACATTCAGAGCGTTGATTAATGTACAGCGCTCATGGGAATAGTAATCTTCACTACCTAGGAGATATCCTACAACAAGAATGGGAAATGAAAGTAGTCAGCATAGCATAAAACTTGTTAAACAAACTAATGTTTCAGCATTTAATTGCCTAAGGCAATTGATTACCCATGACAAGGCTAATCAAGTGACAAGGCTAATCAGAGCACCATTTCTTAACATCTCTATATTTGCTAGCAAAAGGCATTAAAATGTTACTGTAAAAAAATTCAAATCCATTCCTCATTCAAGTCTTTAGAACACAAACTCTACAATATAACTCTCAAAGTGGGTGATTCCAAGGAAATAACATCCTAAAAAAATCTGGGTTCAAATTCAGTAAAGGTGATAACATCTTAATCTTTTAAAGCTATCTAATGGTTAAAATAGTTAATCACATGATTAATATAATTTGTCATGAGTTTTTATTCTGAGGTGATCACAGAAATGAATGTAGGCATCAGATAATGTTGATATTGACCTTGGGAGACTGGTTTCAAGGTTACTTATAGAAGCAGCTCTAGGAAGAATCATCTTTAGTCAGATGCTGACACCCACTGGTGAAAGACGCAAACCTTTCCAAACAGAGGCTTTCCAGGCGTAACAGAGCCAAAAGTTCAAACTAATACGTGGCGCTGAGATTAGATTTTTCTACCTATAGTGATCTCAATTTCACCCCAAATTTAAATGGTATTAACTGCCTATTCCACAATTTAGACTTAAACATGGAAGGAAATGGATTTTCTCAGCGAATATTTGTTTTGGCAAATGTTTCATATTTCCCTAAAAATATTAAAATAAGCTGTGCTGCATATTGTGTGATTCCATTTATACGAAATGTCCACAATAGGCAAATCTATAGAGACAAAAAGTAGGTTAGTGATTGCCTAGGTCTGGCAGGGTTGCGGGGAAATAGGGAGTGTGTACTAATGGGGGTGGGGCTTCTTTTGGGGGGTGATGGAAATGTTCTACAATTGGATTGTGACGATAGTGGCATGACCCTGTGAATTTATGAAAACTCATTGACTTGTATCCTTTAATTGGGTGGATTGTATGGTATGTGAAATACACTTTGATAAAGCTATTTAAAAGAAACAAGCTGTGCTGGACTCTGAGCTATCTCCTAGCAAATACCACTTACTAACGTTAAAATGAGGATGATAAAACTGGCCTACCTCTTTCCCCAGTCCTGAATGTTCCCTATAATCACAATTAAAAGCCTTATACACCTTATACAATAAATGAATTAATGTTTAATTAATTTCCTCCTTTTCCACGATTCAATTAATTCCAGGTCCTGAATACAATGAATACCTTGGTTTTAAGATAACTTTTTAAATGGTAATCTTTCCTCCTATGTACGTTAACAGAAAAGGAAATCCAATGTGTTTGCTAATTAACATGTAATACAGAAAGAAACATACCCGTAAAAATAATTTCATCCCTTATATAGGTGCTTACAGGGGTTAAGACGTGGGGGTTCTATTTGGGGGTTTTAATAACTATGGTGTTAGAGCTTGAGGAAATCACTTCCGGTTTTTTATATGTAAATGTAAACTTTTTATCATTTGGGAGAATATATGCATAGGATATACTTCATTAAAAGATGTATGAACTATAAATACTAGAAAGATAATACAAATAGGGGGAATTCACAAACAGAACTGTTTATTCACATACTTGACCAAACTGATACCAAACATCCATGTGACAATTACATAGAACCTTTCTCATAAAGTAATTTACAAATTTGAATTACATGCTGAGCCTAAAGAAGAGGGCAGCCTATGCTTTTTTTGGGAAAAATGAGAAAATAATTTTTGAACAACTAAATCTCTGACTGCTTTAACAGCATTATTGAGATATAATTCACTACCATACAAGTCATCCATTTAAAGTACATACCTCAGTGGTTTGTAGTGTATTCATGGAGTTGTGCCATGAGCCCCACAATCATCTGACTGGTTTTTAACAGAACATCTAAGTCATAACAGTGATAACAGCTGCATGGTCATTATGCCCTCCTATTGCAAGTCTCCATTCCATATCAGTGTGGGTTGTCTGGTCATCTAAGCCCTGGTTAGGTTTCTTAATTCTCATGAAACGATATCATTTCTATCTTCTGTCCAACTGAAATTTTAAATACATAACTTGGCTCTGAATTAATTTTTTTTTAAATATCCATAGTTTTTCCTCTTGCCAGAGTATAGGTGTTGTTGACCCATAGTTTAGCAAAGACCTGACTGAAAATTTTCAGAGGAGGTACAGACTGTTTTTTCCTCTAGAATTTCCAAAATGACAAAAAGGTCTTGCTTCCAAGTCCGATTTTTAAGATATTTCAGAATTTCTCAGAATATCTGGATATATTCAGGTTCATGAAGAAAGGATGCCATGTTTGATTAGTGATATCTGCTAGAGAACCCGGATGGGAGCGGGACACACAAGGTTTCATGTCTGATGTCCCTGAATTTCAACTTTAACACTGGAGCCAACAAATACTACAGAATTATCTGCTTCAACTGCATTGTTTGGGCTCCATACAACCACTTTTACTGAAATGTACTTTGGTGCTCTGGCCCTAGCTTGAATAAAAGGGAATGTCTCAAGAAACATCTATAAGAAAACCATCACTTTATTACTAAAATGTTTCTGGAGGACACTGTCTACCTTACCTTTTCCCAAAGGGTTAATTTCTCTCAGGTCTAAGAGCCAGAAAATGATTTCTTTTTCCTGAACATCTGATTCCTATGTACCTTATAAATAATGTGACTCTTACAGATTTCTCTTTTTTTTGGTTTTGATTTGTTTTGTTTCGTACATAAGAAATCGCAAAGTTGAATGGGAAGCCCACCCACCTACAGCCAAGCCATATTTTTGTAATTTAGTACTAAGTACCTATTCCATCTTTTCCTACTTACCCTTATTTGTATTCTATTTATTTTTAAACTTTTTACGTTGAATATGTGTTCCTTTTTGGATAAGGCAAATTGAAAATAAATGAAGAGACAAAAGGGAGGGAGGGAGGTAGTGAAATAGCTGGACAGAAAGATAGGGCAACATAAAAAGAACTTGACAGGAAGATATACAGTCACTATCAAAATAAATAGGTTGTTCATTAAGACATGGCTCATAACAGGTGTAAGGAGGGCACATCTTAAAACAAACTTTAGGTTTCACATTAATTTTTATAGGTCTATCAAGTCCATAAACTACTTATAATTTCTTACTATCCTTCCTGTTACCATTTGAATTTACCCTCCCATTTAATTTTTTTGATCCATCTTCCCCAATCCAGTGATTTGAAAAACAGATCTCAGAGAAAGGGAGAAGGATACCAATGGAAAAGAGTCTTCTCCGCCATCCTCACAAAAAAACAAAAGCAAAACAAAAAATATTTTGAACACAGTCCATGGGGAGAAAAAAAGATATTCTAAACCTTTGTGAAGGAAATATTCTTCTATTGGGTTTTGCCTAGAATTAAAAACAAAAAACAAAAATCAATCTGTATCTCCTTTTGGTAATAAGGTTCTCTAAGAGGACAATGGTCTCAGATGTGGAGGTAGCAAATTTTCCAAAGCCCCAACATGGCATTTAGCCCTGGTAAATTGCCTCCCTGCGGACTCATGTCTGCCATAAGCTGAACACAGAGCCATGTTTATGGAGGTGGCATTAGACAGCGTCTCCAGAGCAGTGCTGACTGATTCACTCCCTGTTCAAGTTTCCAGTTACAGTATTTTATTTGATTTCACTTGGGTGTGTTTTATGAGATGGCTGCAGTCAGTCTGAGTTGTTAAAAAAAACATGTGCATCTCCATTACCAAAGTAGGTATCAAATCCTCGGCGGGTTGGAAGGCATTCTTTCCGGTACATTCCCAGATGCCATTTTCCGACCATATGGGTAGTGTAGCCTGCTTCCTTCAGGAGCTGGGGCAGGAGTTTTTCATCCAGAGGAACGCAGCTGGGCTGACAGGGCCAGATTATTTGGTGCTGTAAACCCGTGTGGATCTTAAAGAGATAAACATAAAATTATGAATTAATGATGTTCAAACATTTGAACAAGCAGATGAAGTGGCTGCCTAATTTACTGGCTATATCTGCAGTACAGGCAAGTTTAACTCTATTCCTGTACTGGCTAAAGGCTATTTCTGAAAGGCACTTTACTCACTTATTCAAATAAGTTAATGGACATAAACAGGGTTTGAAAAAAAACGAAAAGCACTCTAACAAATATTAGATATTTTCAATAAATGTTTGATCAAGGTACTATATTAGAAACCACTAAGATTTCACTTCCTACCTCAAAAAAGCAGCCATAATAAGAGTTGTGGATCTATCAAAGAAAAAGTGTTCCAATTTCTATACACATGAGCACTGTTTGATTAGAAGGAGCTTCTATAATCTTTCAAAATTGGGTGATTTTTTAAGGGTTATTC